AACCCCTAACCCCTAACTCCTAAACCCTAAACTCCCTAGACCCCAAACCCCAAAAGCTAGACCCCAAACCCCTAAACCCTACACCCTAAACTCCCTAACCCCTAAGCCCTAAACCCTAAACCCTAAACCCCTATACCCTAACCCCTAAACTCCCTAAACCCCAAAACCCAAAAGCTAGATCCCAAACCCCTAAACCCCCTAAACCCTAAACTCCCCAAACCCAAAACCCTAAACTCCCAAAACCCAAAACCCCTAACTCCTAAACCCTACACCCTAGACCCCAAACCCCCAAAACCCTAAACCGACTTTGCAAAATTGGGCCTCTGAGACTCCTCTGGGCTCTCAGGGAGGGCATCGGCTTTAGGGTTTACCCATAGGCTCCAGGTTTAGGGTTTACGGGTTTAGGGTTTAAGGTCTGGGGGTTTAAGGGTTTAGGGGATTAGGGTTTAGGGTTTAGGGGTTTAGGAGCAAAGTCGGTAAAAAAAAAACACAGAATCTGGCAAATATAATCCTTCGGGCTGCGGTTACGTAAATAGTAGGGTTACTTAACCATAGAACATGTAACCCAGTATTTACTCATTATGTAGGTGGCTGGGGCCTTATAGAGGAAAAACATGATGCCCAAGCTGTATTTTGACCCTGACAGCCCCTCTTTTGGGATTTTGGGGTTTAGGGTTTAGGGCGAATCTTCCCTGAGCCCTGAACCGCGGCATGTTCGAAATCCTTTGCCCGTAAACCCTAAGCCGTAACCCTAACCCCCAAACCATCCCTCACAGGACCACCATCGAGTTCTGTGAGTACCGCTTCTCCCCGGACCGGGAGCATCGCAGCTCCCGCCATCGGCTGCTGGAATCGGCAATGTACGGCTCGGGCTATACTTGGAGGATCATGGGACTTACCAACTAGGGTTATCTATATGGTAAGTATAGTTATATTTATTTAAGCTACTTATAACCTTAGTTACTAAGTCTCACGATCCTCCAAGTCGTGCTTTTTTTTAGCAGGCTTCGCGTTTAGATTTCCATGGGGTGTTGGTACAGTTTTTTTGTTGTTGGGTGTTTGGCTTGGTTCACAGGGTTTAATTAAGTTGCAGTACCAGTACTAGGTAAGGGTTTAGGGTTTATAGGGTCTATCAAGTTGCAGTACCAGTACCAGTGTGGATAACCTAGCTTGTGGTTAGGGGTGGAAACCAAGAAAAGGAACTGCAGTGCAGGGCCCAGGTATCTGCTGAGACCAAACCGATTGAGACCCTGGTCCTTACATGTCATGTTTCGAGGGGCTCTTGGCGGAGTGACGGGTTTAGGGGTTTCGAGGTATAGGCGACGCAGGGATAGTACCGTCAAGGAGATGGCCTTTTAATGCACTGAGACTCAGGTATGATGTGGGCCTGTACAACAATCTGGCCTCAGTACTTGGCGGCAACCCCTTGCTGTGGCTTCTTCCCGTGGGAGCTCCGCTGGGTGACGGACTCTTGCCTCTTCTGTCGCTTTGGGAAGACATGAATTCTAAAGTCGCCATAGCATCCTACTTTCTGCTATGTAGGTACGACCCTTTTGGCATCGCATGCCCAACACCTGAAGCCTTAGTGCACGAACCCTCTCAAGCAGCCTGACAAGCGGACCCAAGCCTCATAGTCCACCCTAAACCCGAAAGCAGCAGTTAATGTTTTGGGTTTAGGGTTTAGAGGGTCTAGGGTTTAGGGGGAAAAGAGCACCCTAAACCCTCAACCCAGCAAGCAACACAGGCCTGAGCTTTCCGATGCGTCTGGAGGATGCCAGCAACGAGCACCTTTGTTGCAAGGTCTCGGGTTTGTTCGGGACTTTGTGGTCAGGGGTTCAGGAAGCCCTAAACCCTAACCCTACCTAGGGCTCATGACAGGTTCGGCTTTTCACGAACTGAAAAAGCATTCCTTCTTGGTGGAATATCTCTAGCTTAGTAAGTCACTTAAAGAAACGGGCTAATCGCTAAGCCCTGAACCGCTAAACCCTCAAGCCCCTTTAGCCCCAAGTCCTTAATTAAACTTAATCATGGGACATACCGGGGTCTCTTCCTTGATTGCAAGCTCGTTGCCTTGGCTGTTGTTTTATTTGTTGTTGTTTTGTGTTTTTTTTTTTTGGGGGGG